TCTCTCTCTCTCTCTCTCTCTCTCTCTTTCTCTCTCCCATGTCCTTCTCCTCCTCTGCTCGCTTCTTTCTTGAACTCATTCAGACCTGAGCGCTCCTAAGAAATGCCGAGCGCGCTTTGGCCTTGATCAACAGAATAACTGGTGCGGCCCTTGCAGGTGTGTATAGTCTCCCAGATTCGCTGTGCTGGTTTGCAGCTGGTCTATTCAATCCTTTCCCCCTTCTCTGGCCTGTTGCTTTGTAGCTCTGTGTGTGGATCTTAGGAGACACAAGGGAGCGGGACACTGCCAAGTGTACGGGCTCTATGAGGGATATGCTTGTTCTCCCGCTGCTGCTAGCCAAAATGCCACTGTAAAACAGCATCATTTGTGCCTCCTCGGGTCAGCGACAGCAAACCCCCAGCGCGCCCCCTCCCAGGGAATGTTGCCTGCCAACCCCCTTCCTTATGACAGCCCGGGATCACAATCCTGGCCTAGGTAGTAGCAAATGACGTCACCTTCTCCCCTCCTCTTCTCTCTCTATTTTTATTTATTTTTTTCATTGTTGTTTTTTGGTTTCTGGTTGTTGTTTTCTTTTTGTGTGTGTTTTATCGTTTTATTTTATTTTTTTTTTCTTTTGACTCATAGAAGTCCCTTCCTTTCATGTCCTTGGTGAGGGAAGATTTATCAAATAGAACCAAGGTGATATGGAAGAAAAGTAAGCTGTAGCTGAGATTTCACATCCAACTGAGCACGACCCACCATTGTGTTGTATTTTTTGTGTTTACCTTATGCTAACAGATGCAAATACTCCAAAGAAGTGTCGGGCACTGTTCGGGCTTGACCGACAGACTTTATGGTGCAAACCGTGCAGGTATATTACCACTGCGAGGCCTTTGGGAAAATCAAAGTATTCTGTCCTTCTGGTACCTTAGTGTGACAATTTATTTTGACCTTGTTCCCATCTGCTTCCCCCACTGGCATCAATGACTAATGATCCTCATTCTTCAAAATTTCCTTGCTAATTTTATGCCGTTTCCTCTCCCCACTTCCTCTTTCTCTCTTTCTCCCTGCACTTATGAATAACATATCCCTGGTGGCAGAACCGAGACCACAACCTTAACAAACAAGGGCAGGCACGGATCCTTTTGCTTTGAACGCCAGCATCGTGGAGCTGGCCCGGCCTTGGGAGTCGGTGGCCTGCGTAGTGACCATAGCGCGCCACCATTTCCAGAGGTTTGAATGAGTTCAAACTTGGCAGCAACTGCATTCCCGTGCACTTGGAGTCTAGGCGCTCAGAGAAGTATTCTGGCGTAGGCTCCCCCGCCTCCCCCGCTTTTTTTTTTCTTTTTGCTTTTGTTTTGTGTTTAAAAACCACATATCTGCACAGAGGAGCTTGGTTAGCTGACATTGTTTTACAGTGCTGAAAAAGAAGCGTGGCATTGAATGGCATGCACCAGCTAAAGGGCTGCAAGCAGTGAGTCATGCAGTTGCATACTGCAGCATCGCTAGGCCTGCAGAATTAAAAAAAAAAATATATATATATATGTATGGATATAGCATTGGTTCCAAAATGGATCAGAACAGCCCCACAGTGTCCAAATTAAGCACACACGTTCCACCTGCAGGTTTCCATCCAACCTGTATGCTCAGGGAAGGTGTAGGTGCTTCCTTCTTGGTGGAGGGAATACCAACTAGTTCCTGTCTCATTTCCTTTCCTTTAATGACCACCTTTGGTTAAATTTGTTGTTTCTTTGTTCTGATACAAGCAGTCTTTGAATTTGGAATATTATGATGGTAGGTATTTCAACACCCTAAACACGCTTCCCTGTTTGTAGTCCCTCCCCCGTCACGTGTCCCCCCTTCATGCCTCTGCCATGTGCTCCGTGTTTAGATGTTAGATCAGATGTTCATCCCATTCCGTGCATGCCCACGAGTCTCCCGTGTCTCTCCCCTTCTTCTCTGATGCCAGCACAAGAGATCGGTGAAGTGCCTCGTGTTGACCCGGCAAACGTTAGGGGAGAGAGAGGGCCTGGGAGTCTCCACTGAGGGAACCACGCAGACAACTCTCTGCCCACGGAGTGAGGGATTGGGGCCTCGGGGTCACCTAGCAGGAGAGGAAGTCCCCAGTCATTCTGTGAGATGGTCGTTTCACAGAGCTGACACGTGTCCCCTCAGCACAGTCCCGGGTTCTTCTCTGGAAAACAGAAAGGAGTTTCGTGATGAAGAAGGATGTTGGGTATCTAATTAGGACTAGCCAGGAAAGACAGGGACTCTGCCAGGCAGTGAGTTTGTCAAAATTGTACTTGTGCCGAGTGAGAAGATGACTAGCTACAGAATCCTGCTCTGAGATGCCCTGCCATGGCAAATGACCGGCTACCCACAAGGGCCTCTGAGAAGAGAGGGTTTCTCATGATCTGTAGAAATGTACAACTGACACCATTGTGTACGCCTCATAATAAGGCTGGTTCAGGTGCCTAGTTTGTTTATTTTATTAATGGGGGATGGGGGATGGGGGATGGTTTATGAATCCCTTTTTTGTTTTGGAAGCAGTTGCTGGAAGTAAGACTTGGCATTTTTTCCCCCCTTTCTGGAGGTTATTACTAACATTGACCCAAACAGAAATCCCCTCCTCAGACATAGTTCACACCTTGCTTGAAGCCAGGGTGTGGTATTTTCCTTAGACATCAGAATTTTCTTTAGATTTTTACCTAAAAAAAAAAAGAGAAATCTGCCAGCCCAAAACTTTTGTGGCTGCCTTATGTTTTTTCTAAAATGCAGCTTTGAGGGGCTATCAGTATGGCAGCATGTTTTTTGCAGATCCGAGGTGCCTGGTCCTAGGAGCTGGAGTGCAGCAGAGACCTCATCATTGTCCAGCTTTCTTTCCAGCCTTAGCACTGTTACAACTTGCCCAGCAACCATTTTTCTTCTGTCGGGGACATTTTTTTCATACCATAAAAGCATTAGCAAATGCACTTCTGCCGTCTTTTAAGGTTGTCATTCCAAAACAGGATCGGGAAGAACCCTTAGTTTCCTTTCAGAATAAATACATAAGAAGCTAGAAATGGATTTTTAAGAGGCCACTCCTCTGATTGGAGGTGAAACCTAGGTGGGCAGTGGGCTAAGAGTATGGGTTTTGTACAAGTTGTTCCCGCTCCCTTTTTCCCCTCAACTTTTTCTTTTAACTTTGCCATGGCCATGACTGGCTTGATGCTGAAATCAATAGGACAAAATGTACTTTAAAAAAAGGAAAAAAAAAAAAAAAAGAAAGAAAGAAAAGCAGTTGCCAACCGAGGCATTTTCTGACTCGTCAGAAATGTGTGTGTTCCAGCTGCCCTTTGCTCAGCCACCGATTCGAAGGCCGTTGCTCTGCCATCACAGTCTTCGTGTCCTGTGTCCAGAATGCCCCTCCCCCCACCCCCATGATCTGGAAACTTCCACGTCATAAGGAGGGTGGGAGGGGTGAGAGGAAAGCACCCAAAACACTCCTAGCCAATCAGGGCTCCTAGCTTGCCACACAGGGTTTCTTGTTTTATTTGACATTTGTGGACATTTTAATAAGGTTCTGTTTTGAGCCCACCAAGTTGCTTTCCCATCTTTTCACTCTGCCCTACTAGCATGGAATGCTGCTTGGTGCCGCGCCCTCGTCTTCCTGGTCGTTTCCCCTTCTCCCTTTCCCCCTTTCCCTCCCTGTTTTTCTCTGTTGCTTTCTCAGTTTTGCTTATGCACTCTCCCCCCACCCCCACCCCCTTCCTTCTCCTATTTTTAAAATGCATGGACATCTTAGTTTTTTGAGCATGTTTTGATCTGCAGGCTAAGGTGGTTTAAAACTCTGAGAGACTTAATTATTTATCTTGGTTTCTGGGATGGGAGCAGAACCCATAGTCTATTTCAGTCTATCCCAGGGAGAAAAAGGAACCTTGCCGAATTGAGGGTGAGACGGGGCTGCACTTGCTCCCCCAGAGTTCTTTCTGACCCAGAGGGGACAGACAGACCCTGACGCCACCAGCCCCACTGTGTCTCTGCCTCTGGGAGGCAGGGAGGACTGCGCATGCTCCCTTCCCTCCCTCCCTTCCTTCCCTCCTCCCTTCCTGCCATCTTGCGGAGTCCACACGCAAGCACGGAGGGGCACCATCAGACAGTTCTGGGGCACGGACCAAAAGGAGGAACCCAATACACCCCCTTTCCTTTCAAGGCCAGGGACATCGTCCGACCATGGTTGCCTTCAACTAGGCAGCATCTTGTTTGCTTTCCAGCGGCAGAAAGCCGGTCAGCACTCACACACTTGTTTTTAGATGTGTTATCAGCTGTGGTTCCCACTATATTCTGGGGTCCTTAGATGAGCACATTTCCTATATCTGCATTATTTTCATAGCGTTAGTGGGGTTGATCCACAGGATCACCTTTCGTGCCAAAATACTGCCCCATCAGACTGGGATTAATGGTGGGAGAAGCTTTGAAGTCACATGCTCAATTTCTTGAGTTGTTCCCCCCCTCCCCCAACCTCATCCTTTGATGCTAAGCAAGAAAGGCTCTGAAATTCTCATTCCTGTTTCTTACATAAGTGGGTAGTGAAGAGGGCAGATTCTGATTTTGGTGCAGGGCAAAATTAGACTCTCTGGTTTAAGCACTAATCACAATCACCCAAACCCAGGAAGGTCCATGCTGCGATTCCCTGGCACGTCGTCTTTGTGGTCACTTCTCTCTGATGGGCTTGTGCTGCACCCTCCACTTACTGGCCTCGGCATATGGCAAGGGCCGGACGCCCCTCCATCCATCCCATCCTCACTGTCTCCTTCCAACCGCTCACTATGGGGTGGGGGAGGGGAAAGCCCCACCTCTTAAAAAATAAAAACAAAAATCAAGTTTGAATCTTAATTTTATCCACAACCTGCAGGCCATACAACCAGTTATTCTTGTTCCTTTGGATCATTTTCTGTTTTTCTTATTCTTCCCCCTCCCCCACCTTTGTTTATCCTCTTCTACCTGTTTTTGGTGGTTTTTTCTTTCTTCTTTTTGTTCTGGTTTTTTTTTGTTTGTTTTTTGTTTTTATTTTTTTTAGTTTATTTTGTTTTATTTTTGTTTCCCCCGCTCCTCCCCTCTCGCCTGATTCTGACCTCTCTTGATTTGGTGTGGTTCTTAACAGACAAGCCCGAAAGCTCTCTGGGCGCCAGCAGCCTCATGGTGGTGGTGTGTTAAAACCTTTAAGCCTCTCGCTAGCGCTGCCTTCAGCTATGTGGGCTCCACAGTGAGCATTTTGAGAGTTTCATATCGATATGAGGCGGCTGGGGAAGGAGCTCTGTCTTTCTCTTTTAAAACACACACACACACACACACACACTCATTGGGGGTGGGGGTGGCATTGGTGGGAATTGGGGGCGGGCAAGGGACAGTGTTGGGATGTCTAAGGGTTTCAGCCAAAAGAGAAATAATGAGCTGCTCAGTTCACCTCAGTTGGGACAAAGCCACACTCTCTGGCACCCAGGGGCCACAGCCCACAGGTGCCTCCTTGCCTCTGCTCACTTAGATTGGGGCAGGGGTGGGGCCGTGGCTGTTGGGGGGGGACGAAGATAGAGAGTTCTGGACTCTGAAGTATTTGTTTGCCGGAGCAGGCTTAAATGCGTGGGTCACGGTTCAGTGAGCCACCCACCCCCGGGTGCCCCTTTAATTGTTCTGGGGCCACTGGGCGTGTGTCCCGTCGAGAGCCCCTTAGGTGACTTCGCTCAGCTGCCTGCGAGCACTAGGTGACTCTCTCCCTCGGCATCTTTGCCTTTTATTCACACGTAACTCTCTCCCCCTGTTTCTAGGAGAAAAAAAAAGTGCGTTCGCTACATACAAGGTGAAGGGAGCTGCCTCAGCCCACCCTCTTCAGATGGAAGCTTACTAGACTCGCCTCCTCCCTCCCCCAACCTGCTAGGCTCCCCTCCCCGCGACGCCAAGTCACAGACTGAGCAGACCCAGCCTCTGTCGCTCACCCTGAAGCCCGACCCCCTGGCCCACCTGTCCCTGATGCCGCCGCCGCCCGCCCTCCTGCTCGCCGAGGCCGCCCACGGCAAGGCCTCCGCCCTCTGCCCCAACGGGGCCCTGGACCTGCCCCCCGCCGCCCTGCCGCCGCCCCTGCCTTCGCCCCTGCCGCCCGCCGGCCCCTCGGCGCCGCTGGCGCAGCCGTCGACCTCTTCCTTACATTCCCACGGCGCCCTGGCCGCGCCCCAGCCCCAGCCGCTCTCCCTGGTCACCAAGTCTTTAGAGTAGCTCTCGCGTCGCCGGCCCTTGCTCTGTGTAGTGTCTGTGCCGCTCTTTCTTTGCGCCCTCCCCCACCTTCGAAAGGTTTCGTTTTGTACTCTT